CCAGGGATGTGTCCTATCTCCATACCTTTTCAACCTGTATGCAGAGCAGATTATCCGAGAGGCTGGGCTCTATGAGGAGAAGCGTGACGTTAGGATTGGTGGACGATCTATCAACAATCTGCATTATGCAAATTACACAACCCTGCTGGCTGAAACTGAGGAGGACCTCATGCACTTACTGCAGAGGGTCAAGGACTGTAGCCTTCAGTATGGACTGAGGCTCAATATCAAGAAGACAAAGATCCTTACCACTGGACAAATTGGTAACATCAGGATGGATGACGAAGAGATTGAGATTGTTCACAGCTTCAGTTTGCTCGGCTCCATGGTCAACACTCTTGGCACCAGCAGCCAGGAAATAAAAAAACATATTGCGATGGGAAAGTCTGCTGTTAGGGACCTATCTAAAGTACTCAAGAGCAACGGTGTCTCTCTGGAGACTAAGGTGCGCCTGATAAAAGCCATGGTTTTTGCAATCACTTGTTATGCATCAGAGAGTTGGACAATGACTGGGGAGGATAAAAGCAGAATTGACGCCTTTGAGCTGTGGTGCTGGAGAAGAGTATTGAATGTACTGCCAAGAAAACAAACAGATTCATTGTCGAGAGAGTTAAACCAGGCTGCTCCTTGGAGGCAAGGATCCTGGGGCTTTGACTGACATACTTTGGACATGTTGTAAGGAGAGACAGGTCCTTGGAGGGGGACATCATGCTTGGTAGTGTAGAGGGACAGCGCAGGAGGGGAAAACCCTCTATGAGGTGGATTGATTCAGTGACTGGGGTAATCGGGAGGGCTGTGTCAGAGGCAATGCGATTGGCCCAGGATAGAGCAGGGTTTAGGACTGTTTTACATAGGGTTGCTATGAGTTGCAAATGACTTGACGACACATAACAACAACAACAACAACAGAGAGTAGATGCATTTGAGTCGTGGTGCAGAGAAAGAATATTGAATATATAACAGATTGCCAAAAGAGAAGAAAAATCATTCTTTTAATAAGTGCAACCAGAACGCTTACTAGAAATGAGGATGCAAGGAGTTGGAAACAACCCAGTTGCCCATCAACAAACGAATGGCTCAAGAAGCTATGGTATATTCACACAATACAATATTATGCTGCATTGAAAAACAAGGAACTCATGCAATATTATTCAAAATGGGTGACCCTGGAGGACATTATGCTGTGTGAAATATCTCAGTCACAAAAGGACAAATACTGCATGGTGACACTGCTGTAAAATGGGACTGATATAAGGGTTGGGGTAAGACTGAGAAAAATTGGATAAATTGTGTATACTGCACTGAAACAGATAAGGGAGAGAATAATTTAAAAGCGATGTATGATAGGATATTATGGTTATCACAAGAGTCCACAATTAAAGTTCCATAGTCGAATATACTTGGGGCGGTGGGAGGGGTGCAGCGGGATTGTGTACCATGGAGAGATGTTTTTCTTTTGCTTTTCAAAGAGAGGAGAGAACTGGGAGTTTGGGGGGAGGGGAGGGCTGGGCGGGGAGTGAAGTGCAGCAATGAATGAATGGAAATCCAAAATCTCTGTAAATGTTCATTAAAATTATTTTTAAAAAAATTAAAAAAAGAAATAAGCAACCCACCACTGTGCCATGAACTAGCAGAATAGTAATGGAGGAACTATTGTGAGTACCTTCATTTTTTAATATTTAGGTTTTACATGGGATTTGAATTATGTTTGGGTTGTACATAAACGGAATATTTGAAACCTCAATACTTTTTTGCATTCCCTACTCTTGGTTATGTAAAGTAATAAAATATATTGAGTATCAGTGGGAGGGAAAAATGCTTGTAGAATAAAGAAATGGAAGAAAAAAATTAAATGAAAGGACAACTGGTGGTTATATGTAAAAAACCAAAAAGAAATGAGGATGGTAAGGTTTCATCTCATACACTTTGGGAATGTTATCAGGAGGGTCCAGTCTTTGAAGAAAGTTACTATGCTTGGTAAAATCAACAAAAAAGAGGGTCAACAAACAAGAGGGAGATAATTCAGGATGTGTATTAGTGTATTGGCACATTTACTGCAGCAATGGGCTTAAGCATCACAGAGATTACTATGAAGAATGTGCAGGATGGAAAAAATGTTTCATTCTGTTGTACACATAGCCATTACGATTCAGAGCTGATTTGATTGCACACAATAATATTATGTTAATGATCTTGATAATGTGATAATCTTCATTTGAAAGAGAAAAGCACAGAATACATTAGCAACTTAAAGTTCTACAAATTAATCAGTGAAAGTTGTTGTTAGGTGCCATCAAGTTGAGCTACATCTGTGATATGCTTGAGCCGTTATTATAGTCACTGTGTAAATCCATCTCATTGAAGGTCAACTTCTCATTCATTTGCCTTGCCAAACATGACATCTTTCCCCAAGGACCAGACCCTCCTAGCAACATGCTCATAATATGTGACAGACAAAGCTTCATCATCCTTGCCTCCAAGAAGCAACCCGACTACACTTTCTTCAAGACATATTTGTTTGTTCTTTTGTCAGTCTATAGGACATTCAGTATTTTTCTTCAACATCACAACTCAAAGACATTGATCCTTCTTCTGTTATTTTTAGTCATTGTCTGATATTCAGATGTATAACAAATAATTTCAAAAAAAACCCCAACAACATGCTTTGAATCAGATGCACTCTAGTCTTTAAATTAATACCATTGATCCTTAACGTCTTAGAGAGATATCTGCCAGCAAGCAGATTTACCTAATGCAGCTTTTGATTTCTTGACTTTTGCTACCAAGGGTGCTGATTGTGGATCAAAGACAGAACTGTCATTTTATGCACCTGTGAAGCAAAACTTCAACACTGTCATTTAATTCAAGTCACTTGGCTTCACAGCTTAATCACTATGTTGTAATATCCACAAAAGAGAAGGATGGGCCTACATCAGTCTATATCAACAGGGTAAAAATTCACTCCACCTTTGATTATCTTCTTATACCATATTTAAACAGTACAATAGGATAAGATAGGATAGGATAGGATAGGATAATTTAAGCATATAAAATGGACTTTTATTAGTTAAAGTAGGTAAAATATCAGAAATTTCATATACTTCAATTTAATATTTTAACAGTCTGTTATCTCTAATCTAACTCTTTCAACACAACTTTTTACCCCCTTTTTCTTCCTTACCAAAATGATAAACATTTTTTTATGAGCTTCCTTTCACAAAGAATCCTCTGCTGATTCAAAGATTTTGGATAAATGTAACTCTTTTTCTCTTCACCTGTTCCAGATTCGCTGCCAGCTTCTTAAAATCTGACAAGAACCGGATAGGGAGTACTTACAAGAAGACCATCTACAAAGAATACACAGACAGCTCATATGTAGATGAGGTGCCTCAGCCAGCTTGGTTGGGATTCCTTGGACCAGTGCTACAGGCTGAAGTGGGGGATGTCATTCTTATACATCTGAAGAATTTTGCTAGTCGTTCCTACACCATCCATCCTCATGGCGTTTTCTATGAGAAGGATTCAGAAGGTAAATAAGTCTACTCTACCATCTTACAATCTCACAAAATAACGCTTTTCCTTTACTGTAATATGAGATAGAAGAATTGGGAAAGAGGATAGTTTTTGCACCTTCATTGAACTGAAGTGTCGAGTTTCTTCAGAAAAATCATTGACTTGTTGCTGGAATCAGTTTTAGTATTCACACACTGTGGGCCTCTGGACAATTCACTACCTTTTTTTCCCCTCTGGATCTCAGATTCCTCATAAAAAATGTGGAAATTCAATCTGCTTTTGAACACAAGAAGTGGTTTGGGGTGGCCTTTATGTAAAACATATGAATATACTTTGAAAAGAGAATAGCACACTGTAATTTAAGTGTTAATCTAATGTTCCTGTCTTCTGTAGGGTCATCTTTTTATTATTGAAAAATAGTTTATTTCTGTTTACATCTATCACAAGCCCATAATACTAACAACATTGAGTGAGAGGAAAAGAAAAGAAAATTAGAATCCGTGACATGGCTGTTAAACCCCTGTATGATATTAATCAAGTTATTATTCCTTAGTTCCCTCTTCCACACAATAATAAAGTAGTCCAGCTGATATTAAATTGCCCTTATATTAACATTCTATGATTGTCTGTTTTCTATTTTGCAATGTGATTTCTTGAAAGAATGGAATTCTCTTCTTCATCCCTACAACATGATCTTTGTACTTAGGCACTACTTGATTACGTCATGAAGTACTTTGCTTAGGCGCAAATCCTCCTGCAATGACTGTTACCTCTCTACCGGCTGTTGACATGTGATCTGAGGTTCTTTGGCTAGATGCTGTTTGACTTCATACGTTTATCAGCTTGTCAGAGCTCTGTTCTGACTGGACCTTATAATCTTATCTTTTAAAAGACTAGATTTGTTTCTCATAGATCAATCTACTCTTTGCCTCTATATCTACTAGTTCCCATTTCATTGCTCCTAAAAACTAGATATGCATGAATTTCATTTTCTAGGTGCTCTATACCCAGATGGTTCCTCTGCACAGTTTAAATTGGATGATTCTGTTCCCCCTGGGGGTAGCCATGTCTACAATTGGACCATCCCAGAAAGTCATGCACCCACAGATGCTGATCCAGCATGCCTCACCTGGGTCTACCATTCTCATGTGGATGCTCCACGGGACATCGCTACTGGCCTCATTGGACCTCTCCTAACTTGTAAAAGAGGTACAGGCCCAAATAATGAGCCATGAAATCTAGTTTGGAACAGGTAGAGATAGTTACGATATAATCTCATTTATTTCACAGTAGTGGTCTTATAAGTGTTAATTTAATATTTACTAGCAGTAACAAATCATTCTAAACTCATTCTACACCATTTTTTTTCAATACTTTATTTCTGGGAAAAAATGTTATCCTTTTTCATTCTTATTTCACCATTAAGTTAATAATAATGAGAGTCAAGTGAGTTTGAAGTAAGTATTGTGGTAAGAGTTTGGGTGTAGACAGGATTGGTAAAACAGTCATTAGGGTTCAGAGAGAATTGAGGGCTTAGTTGGTAATAAGATGTGTTTGAGACATTGTGAGGTTTAAAAACCGAGTGCTACAGGACTGTTATCAGGTTAAGGTCTGTGTTAAGCAGATGGAATTAGTAGAAAAAAATATTTAAGATTTTACTTGTAAGCCCTAGAGAGCTCTTGTGACCTAGTGGTAAGAAGCTCCACTGCAATCCCAAAGGCACATAGTTCAAATCCACCAGATACTCTGTAGGAAAATGATGGCAAATCTCCTTCCATGTGATATAGTGACTCTGGAAAGTCTCCAGAGGGCCAACTATAAATTGTTTCCAACTAAACAGCATGCAGCAACAACAACAACTATTTTTCCACTTTTAAACCCTAAGACATATTTTATTCTAACTGCTCAACCCAGAATCAGGTGGTTTTATCTGAGGGTACTGAAAATGGAAGTTAGCAGCAAAAGGCTCTATCTACTTTACTGTTGCTGATAGACTGCACATTCTCTTCTATCTCCATTTCTTTCTCATGAGTACCATTGCTAGGAGATTCTCAAGAACACTTTTATTACTTGCTCTAGGAGTCCTGCATGGGAATTCCTCTACTCAGCGTCTGGATGTGGACCATGATTTCTTCCTGTTCTTTAGTATAGTAGATGAGAACCTTAGCTGGCATCTCAGTGAGAACATTGCCACTTACTGCTCAGACCCTGCCTCAGTGGATAAGGAAGACGAAGACTTTCAGGAGAGCAACAGAATGCATGGTGAGGTGGGGAAAGTAAACACACTGTGACAGTGACTATTAAGTGCTTTCTGTGAACTTAACATTTAACATTTGATAGATACTTTAACATATTTGTAATTCTCACAAGACAAAGAGTAACTTTTCTATGTTTTACTTATGAGGACATGAGACTACTAGGGTTAAACAGTAAACAAATGGTAAAACTGACATTTGCTCCCTGATCTGTTTAATCACTTGTTTTTGGTGTTATGTGCCATTGAGTTGCATCTGCCCAATAGCTGACTCACCAGTGTAATTGTTTCGGTGTTTTTTAAAAAATATTTTTAAAATTTTATTTATTTTCTTTTATACCAGTTTACATACAAATTTCATAAAGTTTGTATACATTGTTTTCACACCAGATCATTCCCTTTTCCTTTATCTTAACTGTATAAAATGTCTTTTTCCCACTAAATTACCCTGCTTCATAATATACAGTACCTAAAGCTGTTGAATCCCATCTAATATGCTCTAAGTACAGTCAGCTCACTAAGGGTTGTACACTGATATAATCAATTAATATTGCTTTATTTTAAAAAGGATGTGGCAGAATTGCTTGATTTGTAGAGAAAAATATTTCATTTCAGTCCCTTACACTGGGCTTATCTCTCTGTAAGATAACTGATCAACTAAATTAAATTAAAATCAAACCAAAACCATAAAATCAATTTTAAATAATATTTTTATTGCTTGTATGCAATCATTCGTATACATTGTTTCATTCATACATGGCAGTACTAGTCCGTGGAGAGGGATGTCATGCTGGGAGGGTGGAGGAAAAGCACAAGAGAAGAAGACTCTTGAGGAGACGGATTGATTCAGTGACTAGAATAATGGGGATAAGTATGTCAGAGAGAAAAAGATTGGCACAGGATAGAGTTTAGGGCTGTTGTACATAGGATCACTATGAGTCACAGGTGACTCGATGGCATAGAAACAACAACAACATTGTGTTTTATATAATCATTCATATACATTGTATTTTTTGTGCTTTTTGTCTTTTAAAATACTTCCTTTTATTCATTGTTGCATATTTTCTTTCACCCTCCCTCTATGCCCACCCTGCTATGTAACTCTTGTTTCAAATTGTTCTCATACATATAATATATAATCATATATTCCATTTGGACAGTTATTCTCCTAATCTGTTCGAATGCAGTGTCCATTATCTGTCCACTTTCCCCCTTTATGATTCATTATTATTGACCTATGCCTATTTTGACTTCATCTTTGAGAAAAGCTTTTAAGAAAAGAAAACAAATCATGATTTGTTTTCGTTTAATTAAAGCAGTTAAACATTTAGCTTTGTGACAGTTGTATGCTCAAATTCAGATAGTCTTAAGAGAGGTGAAAATGCAAAGAAAATATATAAGGATAACTTAGAAATGTCCAATTTCTCTTGGTTTTTTACCAACTACTTTTACTGTTCGTTATAAATAATTTGACAATTGTACAGTGAACATTTCAAGATGAAAACAAGCCTGAAACAAAAAAATAAAAAAAGAACCTGGAAAGCAAATTCTAATATTTCCCACAATATTGTTTCTGAACCATAAATCTACCACTTAACAATTCTACATCTGTAGAAGATAAAAGCACTTTCACCAATATGTCTCAATTTTTTTTATTTAAAAAAATGCAAGTAATTCTATCTTCCTAGTTTCTAGGACAGTTTGTGTAATTTAGATTGAATATTGTATATGGTTAGTACAGTGTACTCATAAAACCCCATCAAAATGTGATCTGTAATTATTGTCAAATGATAAGGCTTCTTTCAAGGAGAAAAGTAAGGTAACCTAATTAATTTTGTGTGTGTCTGTGTGCTTTATTTTGCAGCAATAAACGGATTTGTTTTTGGGAATTTACCAGAGCTGAGTATGTGTGCACAAAAGCTTGTGGCCTGGCACTTATTTGGTATGGGCAATGAAGTGGATGTCCATACAGCATACTTCCATGGACAGATGCTAACCATCCGAGGCCATCGCACTGATGTGGCTCACATCTTTCCAGCCACCTTTGTAACTGCGGAGATGGTGCCTCAAGAGTCTGGAAGCTGGCTAATTAGCTGTCAAGTGAATAGTCACTTGCAAAGTAAGATACGTTATCTTTGGCTCTTGAGGTACAAAAGAAAGGTGGCTTGGAGCCATAAAATAGCATATTGATATACAGAATAAAACCCTAGACTAGATATCAGTGTTTCTAGATTTTTCCTTTCTGAGTAACCTCAGGTGTATCTTTCTGGATTCTGGATTTCATCTCTCTCATTTATAACATACTATGGTTTGAGGATAGAAATATGTACTTGGCAGCAAATATTGCCCTATAAATTTCATACGATTATTTTTTCTAAGTGGTAGATTCCTCCATAGTGTTAGTGCTCACTTTATAGGCCTAGATATTGTTTGGCTGAAAGATGAATCAGCGGAATTAGTTGGGCTCCAGACTTGACAGGTGACTAATGGCCATAAAGAAAAGGTATGGAGACTGGATGCATCCCTGATGCACTCACTTCCTGATTTTGAACCATTCAGTATTTCCCTGATCTGTTCTAAGGACTGCTTCCTGCTCCAAGTATTGATTTCACAGAAGCACAATCAAATGCTCTGGGATTCCCGTTCTCCTCAATTATTAACCACAGTTTGCTGAGATCTATACAGTCAAATGTCTCTGCATAGTCAATGAAGCATATAAACACACATTCCTTTGATACTCTTGGCTTTCTGCCAAGATCCATCTGACATTTGCAATAATAGCGCTAGTGCCAGGACCTCTTCTAAACCCACCTTGTATTCCTGGTAGTTTTCTCTCAATGTACTGTTCCAGTCGTTTCTGGATAATCATCATCAGAATTTTGCTACTGAGTGATATTAGTGATATTGTTTGATAATTTCCATACTTTGCTGGGTCACCTTTTTTTTTTAAAAAAAATGGGAAATAATACGGATCTCTTCCAGTCAGTAGCCAGGTAGCTAGCTGTCCTCCAAATTTCTTGGCACAACTTGGTGAGCAAATCCATGGCAGAACCTGTTTGTTGAAATACATCAATTAGTATCCCATCAATTCTTGGGTCTTTATCTTCTTCTGCCAGTTCGTTCAGAGCAGACTGAACTGCTTCCTTCATCACCATTATCTCTTGATCACATGTTGTTTCTTCAAATTCTTCTGTGTCAGTCACTTCTTTTTTAATACTCTATATACTCTTTGCATCTTCTTTTTTAAAATTTTATTTTATTAATTTTAATGAACATTTACAGAGATTTTGGATTTCCATTCAGTCATTGTTGGACTTTTCTCCCTGCCCAGCCCTCCCCACTAGTTCACTCCTCTCTTTGAAAAGTAAAAGAAAAATTCTTTCATTTGTATACAATCCCCTCGCACTCCTCCCGCCAACCTGAGTACACTCCACTATGCAACCTTAATTCTAGACTATTGTGATACCCATAATACCCTATCATATATTGTTTTTAAATTGTTATCTCACTCATCTGTTTCAAAGCAGTATACATAATTTATCCAGCTTTTCTCAGTCTTACCCCAACCTTGATGTCAGTCCCATTCTACAACAGTGGCACTACACAGTATTTGTCCTTTTGTGACTTATTTCACTCAGCATAATTTCCTCTAGGGTCATCCATTTTGAATAATATTGCATGAGTTCCTTGTTTTACAATACATCGTAGTACTCCATTGTGTGAATATACCACAGCTTCTCTGTCCATTCATTTGTTGATGAGCACTTTGGTTGTTTCCAACTCCTTGCTATTATGAACAAAGCCTTGATAAACATGGGTGTGAGTATATCAGCTTGGATGTCGGTTATGTTCTCTTTAGGGTATATTCCCTGTATTGGAATTGCTGGGTCAAATGGTATCTCTATTAGCAACTTTTTGAGAAAGCGCCACACCATTTTCCACAATGGTTGCACCATTTTACACTCCCACTAACAGTGAATAAAGGTTCCAGTTTCTCCACAACTTCTCCAGCATTTGTTGCTTGCTGTTCTGTTAAATTTTGCTATTCTTATTGGGGTTTTTTATTTTAGTTGTTTTGATTTGCATTTTTCTTAGAGCTAGGGATTTTGACCATTTCTTCATGTACTTGTTGGCCATCTGAATGTCTTCTTTAGTGAAGTGTCTGTTCATATTGTGTGCCCATTTTTCAATTTTTCAATATTTTTCAAATTTTCAATATTTACCTTTATCTTGTGTTGTTCAAATATTTTATAAATTCTAGATATAAGTTCCTTATCTGACATGTTATTACCAAATGCTTTATCCCAGTCTGTGGGTTCCCTTTTTATGCTGTTGGAGAAGTTTTTGGATGTGCATAGGGATTTGATTTTTAGAAGGTCGCATTCATCAATTTTCTCTTCTCCTGGTTGTAGATTTTTCAGGATAATTGGAAGACTATTTATGTTGTGGATTAGGACTACTAGAGTTCTTCCAAGCTTTTCTTTAATGAAGTTTATAGTCCTTGATTGTAGACCCACATCCATGATCCACCTTGAGTTGGTTTTTGTATTTGGAGTAAGGTGTGGATCTTACTTGAGTCTTCTGCAGATATTACTTCAATTTTCCCAACACCATTTGTTTAATAGGCTGTCATTTCACCACTTAACTGATTTCATTCCCTTTTCAAAAATCAGTTGACCATAGATAGATGGACTGATTTCCGGATTCTCAATTCTATTCCATTGATCTATGTGTCCGTCATTATACCAGTACCATGCTGTGGTACCACTACCATCACGGCAGTGTAGTAGGATTTGAAATCACGGAGTGAGAAGCCTCTTATCTTTCTTCTATTTTTAAGGAGCGCTTTGTTTATTTGGGGCTTCTTTCCATTCCAAATGAAACTGGAGATTACCTTTTCCATCTCTTTGAAGAATGGGAGCGATATTTGTATTGGAATTGCACTGAACGTATAAATTGCCTTTGGTAGTATTGCCATTTTCACAATATTGAGTCTTCCTATCCATGAGCAAGGGATATTCTTCCACTTCTCAGGGTCTCTTTTTATTTCTTGTAGTAATGTTTTATGATTTTCTTTGAATAGATCCTTTGTGTTTCTGATTAGATTTACTCCCAAGTATTTAATCTTGTAATTCACTATTCTGAAGGGTATTGTCTTTTCTTAGTTCAGGCTCTGTATTCTCTTTGTCACTGTAGAGAAATCCAACTGATTTTTCTATGTTGATCTTGTATCCTGCTACTTTGCTGAATTGGTCAACTATGTCCCATAATTTTCTTGTTGTGTCTTTAGGGTTTTCTAGGTATACTATCATATCCTCTGCATAGAGAGATACTTTTACCTCCTCTTTGCCAATTTGGATACCTCTTATTTCCTTCTTTTGTCTGATTGCTATCGCGAAGACTTTCAGAACAATATAGAATAAGAGAGGTGATCATGGGCTTCCTTGCCTAGTTCCTGTTCTTAAAGGGAATGTCTTTAACCTCTCTCAGTTGAGAACAATGTTGGCTCTCAGGTTTGCATAAATACTTTTTGCTATATTGAAGAAATTCTCCTCTAATCCTATTTTGTTGAGTGTTTTAATCAAGAAAGTGTGTTGGGTTTTGTCAAAGGCCTTTTCTGCATCAATTGATAGGATCATGTGGTTTTTCCTTTTTGCTTTGTTAATGTGATGAATTACATTGATTGCTTTTCTTATGTTGAACCATCCTTGCATGTTGTTGTTGTTGTTATGTACCATCGAGTCACTTGCAATTCACCCTATGCACAACAGCCCTAAACTTGGCTCTGTACTTTGCGAATCACACTGTCTCTGACACTCCTATTCCGATTACCCCAGTTCACCTCATAGAGGGCCTTCACCTCCTGCGATGTACCTCCACCCTCCCAAGCATGATGTTCTTCTCCAAGGACCAGTCTCTCCTTACAACATGTCCAAAGTATGTTAGACAGAGCCTCAGAATCCTTGCCTCCAAGGAGCCACCGGGTTTAACCTTTTCCAGTGTGAATCTGTTTGTTTTCCTAGCAGTCCATAGTACTCTCCAGCACCACAGCTCAAAGGCATCAATTCTCCTTCTATCCTGCTTGGTCATTGTCCAACTCTCTGATGCATAACAAGTGATTGCAAAGACCATGGCCTGTATCAGACACACCTTAGTCTCCAGAGAGACACTATTGCTCTTCAGTACATTGGAGAGGTCCTTAACAGCAGACTTTCACACGGTTTGAATCCATCAGATCTTCTGCTGGAGAAGGAGTGGCAATTTCGTCCTGTACCAGTCAGATCTGATTTGAAGGTACATACATCCTTACATACCTGTTATAAATCCGACTTGGTCATGGTGAATTATTTCTTTGATGAATCATTGAATTCTATTGGCCAGTATTTTATTCAGGATTTTGCATCTATGTTTATATAAGATATAATGGCCTAAAAAAAGATATAATGGCCTATAGTTTTCTATTTTGGTTGTGTCCTTTTCTGGCTGTGGTATCAAGGATATGTTTGTTTCATGGAATGAATCTGGGAGAATTCCATCTTTATTTTCTGAAATATGTTCTGTAGAATTGGTGTCAGTTCTTCTCTGAATGTTTGATAAAATTCACTTGTAAAACCAGTTGTTGTATTACCTTTTCAATTGCTTCTTTTGTAACAGGTCTGTTCAGATCTTCAGTTTCAGTTTGTGTTAATTTACGTAGGTTGTACCTTTTTAAGTATTTGTCCATTGCCTCTAGATTTTCATATTTGTTTGAGTATAGTTTTCCATAATACTCATAATACTCTAATGTTAGCTTTTTTATACTAGTTGATTCTGTTATGTTGCCTGTTTCATCTCTTATTCGGAGTATTTGTGTCTTTCTTTTCTTTTCTGAGTTTTGCTAATGGTTTGACAATTTTATTGACCTTTTCAAAGAACCAACTCCTTGTTTTGTTGATAGTCTCAATTGTTTTTTTTTTCTATCTACAGAGTCAATGGTCAATTTTTCTTGCCTTTTGATGTGTTTGCTTATTGCTATAAATTGACCTCTGATCCCAGAGGTTCTGGTAAGTGGTGTTTTCATTGTCATTTGTTTCAAGAAACTTTTTCTTTCACTTTTTATTTCTTCTAGTACCCAGTCAT